TGTGTGTGTGTGTGTGTGTGTGTGTGTGTGTGTGTGTGTGTGTGTTTACAGGTGAATATTTCCAACCATCATCTTTTCAAGTTTGACGTCTTTGGATACTGTCCAGCATGAGAGGCATGAAAAGTTTACTGCACATAATATGAACTACATTAGAGGATTCTTCTGCCATGATTTTCATTAAGTAGACAGATGAATAATTGTGATAATAATAATAATAATAACTTTATTTATAGAGCACTTTTCAAAACAGCCTTTACAAAGTGCTTCACAAAGAAGGACAAATAAAAACAAGAATACAGAACATAAGTGGCAACAAGCTTAATACTATAATAATATTTCAAATCAAAGACAGTAAATTATATAGTGCAAATCCAAAAACCAAAAACAACAAATAAAAAATGCAGCATTTTAAATTAGTGGCAAAGAAAAAGGAAGAAGAAACACAATCAGATGACGTTGTTCCAGATAAAAACCCAATGTAATAAAATTAATTACCACTAGATTTTAATAAAAAGAAATTTATGTTTCAAAAAACTAGAGTTGCTTGATGTCATTTATATATAGTACATTTAGTGTCAGTGTAATCTGTAAGTTAAAGTACGTTACGGGGCTGATGATGGTAATCAAACCTAAATTAGCCATGTTTTCTCAGTAGGCAGCGTAGGCGGTAGACAGGCCGTAGGTGCTCGGGTCTCTCTCCTGCAGTGTAGATAGCGTGCCAGAGCTTTAGTGGCCTGAGCCAATTCACCCAGATGGCTAATCCGTTACAAAGATGACCATTCACAAAACACCAGCTTTGAGCAGAGCTTGGTTGGATTTGACTTCTGTCTCCAGTCATCGTCGGCCTGTTTATGTGGCAGCTTCTCCGTCACCTCTTACCTCTGCAGGTCTGGGCCCACACCCTTTGCTAGCAGGTGTCTGTTTGGTTGCTTCCTGCTCTTTTCTCTTCTCTGGGAGGTGCACACTACGTTTTAACCGTTTTCCCTGTTCTGTCCATCACTGTTAGCTGTGGACGTGGCTGGAGGAGCTTCAGAAGGAGCTGCTGGATGATGTGTACGCAGAGGCGGTGGAGGCGGTGCAGGAGCTGATCAAGCGTTTTGGCCAGCAGCAGCAGACCACTCTACAGGCTACTGTCAATGTCATAAAGGAGGGAGAGGATCTCATACAACAGCTCAGGTTAACATTGTTATTCAGCGCTGTACTAAAGAATATTGTATATTGAATATTGTATAAACCACAGCAGGCCACTCTCATGCAGTTCATTGACACACACATATTCTCTAATCTATTATTCAGAGGAGTTCAGACTTCCATCCTTCCTCAATCTCTTAGCCTTTTTCTGAATTCACTGGACCATCATGTGATGTTGAAGTAACAACTTAAAACTACAGAATTACCAAAGCAAAGGCAAAACATAGAAGGGATTTCCTGTAATAGATTAAGAAAACTCTGGAAAGGAACAGGGAAATAAATGATTCATTATATTATTATTAGTATTATTATTTTCCTCAAGGATGTCTAAAAACTTGGAGCCATTTTTTATCTGACGAAAGATCCAAACACACAAACACATCCAACACAACTGTGAACTCAGACTGGAATAAAACGGAGATTTGACCACTTTTGATTGGATCGCTCAGGATGGATGTTATATACCGGGTCATTTCCACTGTACCTGCAACTCCCTTATGTTTGACTCTCTCCACAGAGACTCGGCCATCTCGAGCAACAAGACTCCCCACAACAGCTCCATGGCGCACATCGAGAGCGTGCTGCAGCAGCTGGACGAGGCGCAGGGCCAGATGGAGGAGCTGTTCCAGGAAAGGAAGATCAAACTGGAGCTCTTCCTCCAGCTCCGCATCTTCGAAAGGGACGCGATCGACGTGAGTAGTAGGCGGGAGATGGAGGAGGCTTGGTGTGTGACGAGGATTTATTTTTTGCTTTATATCGTGCAATGTTCAGGCAAGCGTTGAGAGGCGGGCGTAGATGATGGAGCATTGGAGATCATAGGAAATAAATATTTTTGTGTATCACCGATTTAAGGAGGAAATAGTTTGAGAAATAACAACAAAGTTGAGGAGGAGGAGTGGAGCTGAAAACAAAACTGCAAAGAGTGTGATAAGGGAAAAAGAACATTAATAATGTTATGTTGTTTAATACAAAGGAATCAATTACATGTGGCAGGGGACAAACTGAAATGACTGTGACTGTGAGCCGATGGAGCGTTACACCATAAAAGAGAGATCGAGTCCTGTAATGAGGACTCCCGCTGATTCAGAGCTTGGTTGAGTTCACAGTGATACGTGCTGCATTAAACCAGCGTTTAGTTCCACTTGACACATCTCATGCACTGACTCATTCCAATTTTCTTTTCCTGTATCTGCTAATGTCTTAATGTCCCACTGCGATACTGAATGCTTTTCTCAGTCGGTGCTCAGACGCGATGACTCCTCTCTTGAAACTTTTGTTTAATGTTCCTCCTGGATTATGTTTATTGTGGAAATCAAATGAGATGTGTTGTGCCACAATATGTCGAGAGATAAATTAAACTCTGTCCGAGATGGAGGCTTCACACCCATGAGGACAATATAAGTAAAAAGAAGATGTGGAAAGTAATTGCGGCAGATCTGAAGAGCCCTGGGTTCTTGAATGACAATGTGTGTGTCAGCAAATAGTTTTCAGTAATAATCACTCTACTCCCTTTGCTGTGACGGAAATAAAGAGGTAAGTATATATGTTGTGATCCATTATGTGGATAAGGGCCTGACTGAAATTGGAATTTGTGGGAGCAAAGTGTTGAATTTGGTGCAATATGGATGATACACTCAAGTGACATTGTCGATCATGTCAACAGCACGTTTTCGACAAATGATTTCCCAGTTCGAAACCCAGTAAGATAAAAGTTTTCATATTGGCGCGCCGATACTGCTATGTCTGTGAAAGACTCAACAATAAATCAATCAGGCTTTCATATGGATTTGATGCACAAAATGTAGTTATACTGTCAAGTCTTGTAATTCCTGCCTAAACAGATTTTCAGATGCATGTGATTTTCAGGCTCAGCACCTTTTGTTTGTTTTAATTACTCAATTATATTTAACGTCTTTTGTTAGCCAGAACATTCACTTTGCCTCTCCTGTTATTGTCAGCTAGATTTGTTTACACCAACAATGTCCAAGATACCAAACTTAGGTGTTTTTACTTCTCAATTAAAAGATTTAAAATTGAGAGAAGCAGCTACATTAACCCCATGAACACAACATTATATGTGGTGTGATATTACAATTCTGCCCATGCATGAATTTTCCATGTGATAATAGAAGTTTTGTTGCTGCTTCAACGTTTGTTATTCACACGCACACACACACACACACACACACACACACACACACACACACTCACACACACTCACACTCACAGGATTAATATGACACAGTGTTCAAGCATGAAGATGGGTGGAGAAGGCATTTGTTTCCCTCCACTCCCTGCCCACACACACACACACACACACACACATATGACTCTCCCTCCTGGCTTAGTTAGGGGTGTGTGTTAGAGGTGAGGGCACGGGTTTAGACCAGACACACACTCGTCTCACAGTTCTTTCTTCTTCTGTCAATAAGTTTGCATCTCTGAGCAAAACTCAGAGGAAAAAGAAAACCAAGTCAAAGAGGAGAGTTTCCTCCATTAGTTGCTTTTTGCAGAGCTGGTAGCTGAGGGAGATGGTCTTCTTGCACACAGAGGGCATTTTACTCAACTTAAAGCGTAGAGGAGAGCAGAGTGTAGATGAGTCTCTGGTAAGTTTCTACTTTGTTGCCACTTTGTGAAATGATCATATCGTTAGTTCTGTCTGTGTGTGTCCAGATTCCTGGTGTACTTTGTCACAAAGCAAATACACTTTTGTAAATGGAGAGAGAACAATGCTGTACATTACAGAAGAGATTTCTCTTTCTCTTTCTATAATGGAGGGCTGCAGAGCATTAAGAGCCATGCAGTTATTACACTGACTTTTACATATTGTTTTCCCTTTATTGACTATAATAATAGATGATTAAATTTATTTCTTAAAAATCTTTTCCAAGACTGAATATGTTGCTTACCTGGATTTCATCATTTAGAGGATATCTCATTAGTCCACATTGACCGGGACGTGTCATCGGTTGATCACATTGATACCTGCATCCGTCAGTATTCACAGTATAGTAAGAAGATGTGCTAGGTGCAATATTTTTGGGAAAATCAATCTAAGTAATATATTATATTGTATGACTAAAAATTTTTGATTTACACACTTGGTGAGGATCTGGGAAAAAGTCATTGCCTGAGAGGATTCCATTCTCACACTGATACCCACTTACACTTTCGGGACCATTTTACATTACTATTGTTTTTTTTAAATATCTTATCCTGAGCACACATGAATGCAGACCTGGTTCTATACATCCCTCTCTCTCTCTCTCTCTCTCTCTGTGCATCACTATTTCCTTTTACTCAGCGTTTAAACTCACTGGACCTTCCTGTCTGCAGGTGAATGATGCGTTAGTGAATTCCGTATAATGTCCAGTTCTCAGGGAGCAGTAACTCCACACATTTCAATCTGACACATTCTTAACTTTAGTTTCTAAGTTTCCAGAGCAGCTGAGTTTTGGACAGATACAGGTGTCAAACCATTGGAAGAAACACCATACTCTCCCCCATGTAGCTGAGAGTATTGAGCAGTGATACATGTCAACAGTCCAAGGAAGTGTTCGAGTCTGTTCGTAAAACGTCCAGAATAAAAGATGTTGATGCTTTCAATCAATCAATCAATCAGTCAGTCAAAACTTTAGGTATATAGCATCTTTCATACAGGTTTGTGAAGCTCAAGGTTCTTCTCAACTGAGCCAATAATAGAGAAAAACAAATAAAAATCCTGACAATGAGATATCATAAAGTATAAACCAACAGCTGTAAAAACAATAAAAGACAATAGACATTGAAGGCCTCTGTATATTCATTCTTCATGCCCCTAGGGCAAGAGGTGAATTCTGAGACAAAGTAAAGAGCAGATCTCTAAAAAAAGAGAGTGAGACAGACAGAGCTGGATGTTTCCAGGAATTTTGTGCCCATAGTATCATGATTCAGTGTGCGTGGGCAGTCAGAGACGAGCACCGACATCTCAGTACATCTGCTTTACCAGCCGTGCATCAGCTGTGTGATATGTTATCCTTTATTATGACAGTCACTCCAGGGTGTTGGATTAGAGAAATGACTGTAAACTGTCTGAGTTGGTATTCAAACATGAAAATAATGTGGATAATTAAATGACTATGCTATTTTTTTATCTAGCTGTGATTAACACCTTTGAATGTGTGTGATGGTGAAAATCATACACAACATGAATTATTGACGTCCTGGGTTAGAATACTGTCAGAAACCCCGTCACACTTATTTGTGTATATAAAATTTCTCATGTATTTGCCCGCCCCCCCCCAGATCATCTCAGACCTGGAGTCATGGAACGAGGAGCTGTCGCAGCAGATGAGTGACTTTGACACGGAGGACCTGACGCTGGCCGAGCAGAGGCTGCAGCATCATGCAGACAAGGCGCTCACCATGAACAACCTCACCTTCGACGTCATCCACCAGGGACAAGAGCTGCTGCAGTACGTCACGGAGGTCCAGGCATCTGGTGAGAGACGGAACAGAACACCTCACCTGGAGTGTTTATGCACGGACAAAACAAAAATGTACCAAACGCATAGGTCACTCACATCTCTATTCATTGATTCGTATTTCATTTGTAAACAGCAGACTTGGTACTGAAGGAGCAGATGTGTTGCTAAAATGGCAGTTGTGCAGAAATAATCCTGTTGACTAAATGGTACAAATTAAAAAGTTTAAGAAAGAGAATGAGAATGAGAGTGATGCCAGGAGTAAATGAGGCAATTGATTGGAGGAGAGAATGAAAAATGTAATTTAAGGAAAGAGGAATAAGGAATAAGAAGCAGATGTGCTTTAACCAACTAGATTTTACATTTTTATCCATAAGAGTCATGTTCATGTTGGATTTAACTGCTCTTGGGCAACACCATAGACTGTACATAAACATGGAAGACACGTCTCCAGATAAAATATCCTTGACACGAACACCACCATATCTGGCATTGGAAGAGTGCGCAGTAGTTATTGGGGGATGGAGTTGCAGTCGCAAAGCTCCATCGATGCAAGTGCTTGACCAATCAGGAGTCAGTCTCGGTTGTCAATCATTATAACCAAACTTACTGGAAAGATACTTGAACAAACCTTAGTGTGATAAGAACTACCTAAATGTCACAAAACCTTGTTTTATTTTATTTTGTTCAATTTCCCATCCACTAACATGAAGGAGACAGGATTATTTACACTCTTTGGTCAACACAAACAGAACAATTTTTTTTCAACCAGGACCATGCCTCCATGTGTTGTTGTGTTTTTCACCTCATGATACAAATTTAGCTCATGTAATTCAAAGATCGACCACCTACACTGCTGCTGATAGACACATGGCAACCTTAATGATGCTAGAGCTGTACCTGTGAAACTGACCTCAGGTTGGCAGTTATGAACCAAAGGCAGCTCTACAGCTCGCTGCACGACTGGCACACGACGCTGCGAGGGGCTGCAGGACAAAATTATGAGAATGGATTATGCAAATGCTAAATTTGCCGTGAAACGTTTGTGTAAAAAATGACATGATTAAGTCATCTCACACAAGATCAGCATTGTACTGTACTACATGTGAAATCATAAGCCATCCAGCTTTTATCATTCTACAACTGGGAGTCACAAAGAATATATTCATAAAATGCAAATTTTATAGCTTTCATGTAGTCTGTGTAGATTTAGTGGTGGAGATGTGTACAGAATCACTACATAACTCTTCAAGCTATAACCATTTAATCCCACATACCTCCATTCAGGGCCCAACAGTCCCCTTAAGTTAAATCAAGCTGCATAGCTAAGGCCACTACATGTTTCTCAGCTACGCATTGGTGGGATCTTATTAATTCCACTGCATGCAGAGTTTCATTTGGATCCACTCTAAATTACGCAAACACATCGATACCAGCCCCTAAAAGTGTGAAGACTTACACATAATTCTCAGAAAATTAATGCATCCTCCCCGATCTGGATTTCTCAATACAATTTTATGGGTTCTGTTCTGACCGATACTGGATCCTTCCACCGCATCTCGTGGTCGTGCATTAGTTTTTGTACAATGCTGCTAACAGACAGAGTCCAAGATGGATTGTGATGAAATGTCCCTTGTGTGCAGGTGTGGAGCTGTTATGTGACAGAGATGTGGACATGGCCACGCGAGTCCAGGACCTGCTAGAGTTCCTCCACGAAAAGCAGCAGGAGCTGGACCTGGCAGCGGAGCAGCACCGAAGGCACCTGGAGCAGTGCGTCCAGCTGCGGCATCTGCAGGCTGAAGTCAAACAGGTACACGTAGAGAAAAGAAGGACAAGAGGGTGAAACGGGAGACAGACACATGGGGCTTCTTAAAAAGGGGCCGCTGTGGCTCAGGAGGTAGAGAGGGTCGTCCACGAAACAGAAATGTGGTGGTTTGATCCATGGCTTGGGAAGACACTGAACCTAAAATTGGCCCTGACGGTTGTGGCGACAGTTGACAAATAATGTGTGATAGAAAAACATCTTTATATAGAAGGAGTGTATGAATATGTGCGTGATTGGATGATTGTGACTTCTGGAAGACTGATAAAGTGATCTATTTAAAGTCCAGTAAAAAAAAAGAGGACAAGTTAAAAAGGATCTGTGCTTTGTAGTTTTGAAAGAACAATCCCTATATTATTCTCCCTTTTAACCAAAACAGGAATCCTATTTCACTTGGAGGGGTCATAGTAAGTTGAATTTGACCGTGTCTCAAATCATACATACATGTTTTCACACATGAATTCTCACATGATGCTTCTTTCTCTTGTAAGAGGTCAAACTGTCATTTTATGGCTACAGCGTACCATGATTGTTACAGCAGAGGGTGTCGAGGTGCAAATAGAGCTACAGGATGTTCTGTCTGTACAAGAGCACGACTCGATGACTCATCCTGTGTCAACAATATCTCTCCTCTCCTTCCCCTCCTCTCTCTCCTGGTATTCCATCTGTCCAGAACAACGACAGAGTGAGATAAATGGAGATTCAGGGTTAAATGAGACAAACGGATCGAAGCTAAACAAGGGAAGAAAGATATAGCTTCTTATTGTTGCGTTAGTGAAGAATCTCAACTCAACTAGTGATTCCCTGTGTTCAGTTGCAGAATTAAAAGCAAGACAGTTGTTCAGAGTTAGTAATGTATGCCACTGAAACCAAACCACTGAGCCAGTTTTCATAATAAGGCTTGTTATCAGTGATTCAGCTGAATAACAACAGGCTCTGTGTCTGCTTCTGTTAGAAAGAATGAAAAATGTAGCATAAGTGGTGGCAGATATGAGACTGAGACTAAGAGCATCTACTAGAGCCAAGCATTTCAGCAGATGCATGGATGCAACTGAACTGACAGTGACGATGGTGTGATGCCGGTCTGATGTTATTTTTACTGATCTGCCCACAGAGAGGCTGTAGCCACGGCCTGTTACAGAAACTGTCTGTTAATGCCTGGTTCACACTGCACGCTTTTAAGCCCAATATGTTAGTGTAGTGTGTAACCCCCTGTCACCACTCTGCAAGACTCCTGAACATCATAATAATGATAATAATAAAACTTTATTTCTATAGCTAAAGGCATTAAAAGACTATGAAATATGTTTTAAGCATTGATTAAAAAAACAAGTGAAGATCTGTGAGTATAATTGTCTCAGGCAAGGAGCTCCAGAGCTCCAGGCTCCTGTTGGCCAAAGCCCAATCACCCTTAGTAACCAGCCTTGACCAGCGAGTTAGTGTCTCTGTAATATTACTGGGGACCAGATCGGTTCTGAGCTTTCAAAGTTATTAAAAGAATCTTAAAATATATCCAAATGAAGGGAGGCAGCCAGTGATCTGACATCTTTAATAAAAGCCACGTTGTCTGAAATTGGCATTAAATTGAATCCTAGACAGAGATAACCACCGCCCCACTGTTAGTGCAGTGTTTTTTGCCGTCTGAAGCCCCACACCCAGAGGTAGTTACTTGTTTCTCTATGTCATTAAGCAATAGCAAAGCTTTAGAACAGGGATTTAGGGTTTAACAGGGGTTATAACAAAGATGATAAGTAAAGTGGTGTAAGGTGTAGTGGTATGATGAAATATTGGAATATGTTATGTAGACCTAATTATAAGCCATACCATACCTATGAATCACATGTGCACGTCATTCAGCTCTTCCAATATTCAGCCCCTCACGCCTCAGGCCATAGAAAATGCAATGGAAACATTAAAGCCCCACGCTGGGGAGAAGGTGAACAACATGAGTAAGAGTTGTGTTGCATCATCACTTTTATAGCCGAGCTTCAGTTGCACCTCTGCCCGTCACCCACACAACAGATGTGCTTTGCTGAGTCAGAGAGAGAGAGAAAGAGAGGTGTCTTTGAGAGAAGTAGGCCAGCAAAACAATGAACAAATGGGATTTTGTGTGCATCCAGAAGCGTGTGTGTGCAGCAGGGGTGTGGTAGCTAAAGAGATTATATACAGAGGGGAGAAATGTGAGCGTGCAAGGTGAGATTTGAAGAGAGTGTAGGGATTTAAATGGGGACTGAGTGAGGATGCAAGCGAATGGGGAGGTGCAGCGGTTGAAAAGGCAATGAAGTAAGTTTATCATAGGAGAAAGATTAAGGATGAAAGAGTCGGGCCACATGGAGCAAGATTTTCTAAGAGCTGATGAGGCAGATGAAAAATAAGGGTGAGAAATTTGGAGGACAATCTCACACTTTGAGTTAATTAGTCAATTAAATCAAGATGTTCTCTCCACATAAGTACTGCAACTAATTCTGGTCACTAAAAAAAGGAGTAATAACAAATTGCATTTCTTGTGTGTGTGTGTGTGTGCATGCGTGTGTGTGTGTGTGTGTGTGTGTTGTAGGTGCTGGGTTGGATCCGTAATGGAGAGTCCATGCTGAACGCCGGCCTGATCACTGCCAGCTCGTTGCAAGAAGCCGAACAGCTGCAAAAGGAACACGAACAATTCCAACATGCAATAGAGGTAAAATGAAAAAACGTATCCTATTTTTCCTCTTCTTCCTTGTCATCATGTTTCCTCATTTCCTTCCTCTTCCCCCCACGTTTGTCTTCGTTGCCCTTCTGCCTTCAACCTTTCTAAAAACTACTCAGGTTCACGTCTCAATGCACCTCCTCCTCCTCTTATCACAAGTCGCACATGAAATGGAATTATGAATAACTTGTATCTCTACCTCTCTCTTTCTTCTCTCTCTCTGCTTCCCTTTCTCCTTTATTCCCTCGCTGTCTTTAACCACAGATTGTGCAGGGTGCATTTTCTTTGAACTCTATCAAGCCTTAGCTCATTTGAAATGCAGGCCTGTGCCTGACCTACTTCTACACACAGCTCACATGTACACACGTTCATAGGAAGGCTGTGTTTATAATTATTACACATGTGAGACAAGTGGAACTGAAACACATACGCCATAACTGCATTCTCTGAAACCGTTTTTTTTGTCCTTGGACATACCTTGCAGGAGCAGGAGACATAATAAAATCTGCCAGGTTAACATTATCGAAGGTGACAGGAAATACCTCATTCCTCCTGTACCTCCGTCTGTTCTCCTTCCCTCAAGTGCTCCAGAGTCCTGCAAGGATCAAAAGACTTATTCTCAGACTAACCGCTTTGACAAATCACAAAAAGTACCTGTCTTTTTTCTTTTTTTTTACCCCTTTTCTCATTTCCTTTCCAGAATGCTCCCCTCAGGCCAATCTTTGACACAGCTCTAATCAGACTCTACCTTTATTTATTTAGCTTTTCCTCTCTTGCTCCCTGCTCCTCCACTCGATGCCAAAAACTGCAGGGGCAACTGGAAGCTGGGATCATATTTTCCAAGCACTCATTATGATTTAGAGATTCGTATAACTCTTGAATCTCATTGTTTTTTTCTTTTTTTCTCAACCTTAACCCCTGTGCAGAAAACCCATCAGAGTGCACTGCAGGTACAGCAGAAGGCAGAGGCCTTGCTCCAGGCCAACCACTACGATATGGACATGATCAGAGACTGTGCAGAAAAGGTAGAGCTCTCCAACATTTTACACATCAATAATGGAAAACAAGAATATCATTGTTAGCAGTGCACTAGCTTTTTTAAAGCAGAAAGTGGATTTTAATTTGCTTTATTTTTTACTTTTGAAGGTGGCAGATCATTGGCAGCAGCTGATGCTGAAGATGGAGGACAGACTCAAGCTGGTTAATGCTTCTGTGGCTTTCTACAAGACCTCAGAGCAGGTGTGTGGGAGTTAGTGCCACCGGCTCACGTGTGTTCAAATGTGTTAGACAATCTCGAGTGAGTTAGAGCAGAAATGCTGAAATAAATTATGGGAATTACTCTCTCCACTTTTCAGCATTAGTGGACCTGGAACTCTGAGTCAGAGCACGGTTAAAAGGAACGATTCTCAAGGATGTGCAGTCGCAAAGGTTGCTTGAAGGTTAATGTTTCATTTAACAGTATTTTATGCACCGTGTTATCCACGTCTCAGGTGTGCAGTGTGCTGGAGAGCCTTGAGCAGGAGTACAAGAGAGAAGAAGACTGGTGCGGTGGTGCTGACAAACTGGGCCCAAACAGCGACTCTGACCACGTCACTCCCATGATCAGCAAACATCTGGAGCAGAAGGAGGCCTTCCTCAAGGTGAGAGAGATGATAGTATTACACATAAGAAAATAACTGTTAATTAAGATCTTGTATCTCTCAGACGGATGAAGCTGTTGACACTGTAAATGACGTCTGTTCTCGTTCTACAGGCCTGTACATTAGCCAGACGTAACGCTGATGTCTTCTTGAAGTACCTGCACAGAAACGGTGTCAACATGCCCGGCATGTTGTCCCACGTCAAAGCTCCAGAGACTCAGGTTAAGAGTAAGTAGAAAACGTGATAATAATAATCACTTTCATGATTTCTGCATCTAATCATTGCAGAGATGTTTATTAGCTCAGATCCTGATTTATTCCCAGAATGATACTTTGAGCCATGAGTTCAGTATCTTTTTTTTTGGAATGCATTTATTTATCTGTGTGTGTTTGTGTTGTTTCGTCAGATATCTTGAATGAGTTGCTGCAGAGAGAGAACCGAGTGCTGCACTTCTGGACCATGAGGAAGAGGAGACTGGACCAGTGTCAGCAATATGTGGTGTTTGAACGCAGCGCCAAACAGGTGTGTGTTTGACTCTGTGTTTCTGTGTTCACTGGCAATGTTTACGTGAGTTGCTATTAGAATATTTGAATCATATTCTTGCACTCAAACACAGGATATGTGTCGTCAAGCTGTTGATAACTGCCGATGTGGCAAAATGCTGTAAAACTCATATAGTACGTTCAGCATCTGGAGCTCCACCTGGTGGCTGGCTGCAGTAAAGATCATAGACCCTGTCTCCTCTGTGTTAGTGGACGGGAGAAGGACCAATCTAAAAAGTCAGAGTAGTTGTCAAATACATTTTATGTAATTCTTATCTCACTAATGTTTGTTAAAGTTTTGTTTTATTTAGTTATTTCATACAATAAAAATGCTGTAAACCTCATGATTGACAGCTGAGACTGACTCGTGATTGGTTGAGAGCTTGTATCAAGTGTAAAGGGACCTTGCAACTGAAGCTCCATCCCCCAATCGATATTGCTCAGACTCTGGTTCCACATATGCAAAATGGCGATGTTCACAACCAGGCTATTTTAGCTTTGTTTGTGGATGGTGGGCACAAATAGAGGCCCATCGTCCATCTTTTTATACTGTTAATGATTATTATTACTGCGATTTAGCCCGATTCATATCTGCATAATGAGACTAAGATCAGAATACTCCACACGTCCTGGTTATTCTGAGTATGAACTTTCTTAGGTTAAGGTTCTTGTGTCTGATATTGACAATCCAGACTGGATCAGCATGTTTTTGTCATTTGATTCACTTCACATAGATGCAGCAGAAATCTTCCTCTCCCTGTGAGATGATTGAATCGTGTTTGTTCTTCCATCTGGCTTTGTCTCCGTTTTTAAATAAAACACACGGTCTGTGTTTTCTTGTTAATGATATATTTCACATATCCTGGAAGTGATGTAAGCTGGCAGACATCCACAACACGACCGTCTCAAAGACAGCTATCATTATGTGGCAATGTAAACACTGTGTGTATCACAGAGCATCGCTCAAACACTCGTCTCCAGCCTCTCATTTTGCCCTCAGGCCTTGCGGAAGATTTCCACCTCTGGGAGTAAAGCTTTGCTGTGTTTTAGAGGAGCAGAGGTTCAGAGCTTTAGAAGGATGAGAGGTCAAGTCATTAGAACGCTCAATTTTAAATGAGCCATGGTTCAAAGCTAGGAGGACCTGTGAGTTTAAATAATATTGGAACAGCCAGGATGTGTTCTCACTCCGCAGACTGAGCTGACGTTGGTTGTTTCTTTTAATTACGACTTTATTCATGAGATGAGATGAGTAAGTTAGAATCCCGTGGCACAATTCAATTTCTTTACCAGATCTGAAGCTGTTTAAATACAAGTCTCATAGCTCCCTCTTGTGGTGTTTTTGTATATAGCACAGTGCAGGTACATAGCAATGCACAACCAATAACATCAAATGACATCATAGGCAGCATGGAACATGGGACATCTGTGTTTTATCTACCGTGACCAAATGTTTTACAGTTTGATTGGAGGTTCTGCAGGACAATATATAAACTACACAGCCGTTTAGAAAAAATCCAAAATAATTAAGACCTTCGGAAATGGAATGCGAGTATATGAATCAGTCTTTTTATACAAACAGAATGTCTTCTATTCCCAGAGGAAATGCTATCTCATGAATTACAATGAGCAAACACTTGAGGCACAGTAAAAAAGATAACAAAAAAAAGATTGGAATCAAATAAAAACAAGTGAACAGAACTGAAATAATTGAAAGTTATACAAAGAAGTAGGTAAAAATAATAACAAACAGTGAAAGAGAATAAGTAAAAGGAAAATAATAAAATCAATTAAATTTAAAATTATAGGATATACCAAATAGTAAAATGAGCTTAGGTATAACTAAATACTATTGAAAGCCAGATTAAATTAAATGTTAATATTTCAGGAAGCCGTAACACATTTTTTCTAAAAGTGAAACTAATGCATCTAATTGCTATATCAAATGAAATGGATGTTATTTATACCAGCCCTGAGTTTCAGTGAATAAGATTATCATAAAGATTTTCTTCCTCTTTAGAGAAAGTCATGTTTTGTTTATAGATCAGAACAAATGTATAGAAATGTTCCATTGAATGTGGGTGAATGATGTGGGTGATGTTGAGTTCAGTCATACAAACTATGCAGCTTCAACATCATTGTTTTATTGGAGATCCAGGTTCACTTTAGCTGGTACCAGCTCTTCAGATTGTGGTTATAAGAGACATTGTGTATCTAAACTCCCTGTATCGTCAGTGTTCTCACTTGTGATTGGTTGTTCATCCTCAGGCCCTGGAGTGGATCCACGACACTGGGGAGTTTTATCTGTCCACACACACGTCCACAGGCTCCGGGATTCACCACACGCAGGAGCTGCTGAAGGAGCACGAAGACTTCCAGATCACAGCAAAGGTGTGTGTGCGTGTATGTGTGTGTGTTGTTAAACCTGCTTTTGGATCTCTGGCTGTGTGCATATTATTGTTGCCTGTTGATCTGCCTGTGTGTTTGCACAGTCCTGCGCTCCACTGTGAGGCCCAGTCCCTCGGCAGCGTATTGTCCTGACTCCTCTTTGCTGTGTCACTGTTATTGTGTTAGAGAACAAGCTTTTGTGTCCATCAAGCAACACCCTGTTTCGTAACTCTCTCTCTCTTTCCCTCTGTCTCTCTCACATCTACCTTCTCCTCTCGCGTCAGCTCCTCCTCTGTCCAACTCTCTCCATCCACTCACTGAATTCTGATTATTTATTTTGTATTGACAGCAAACCAAAGAGAGGGTGAAGCTGTTGATCCAGCTTGCCGATGGGTTTTGTGACAAGGGCCACTCCCATGCCCTGGAGATAAAGAAATGGGTGTCCTCGGTGGACAAGCGCTACAGGGACTTCTCTCTCCGCATGGACAAATACCGAACCTGCCTGGAAACGGCACTCGGCATTTCTTCCGACTCAAACAAGGCTGTGAGTACTCGCAACTGATATAAATCAAAGAGGAGCACAGATCCGCTTTATTCTTTTTTATATGTTGTGACAGATCTGTTCACACGTGTTGGCCCAGGTTTTAGTAAATTTCTAGTTCTTTAAGTGCAACAAAATCATGTTTAATGTGATAATGTTATCGTACAAACTTCTCCTGGCTTTAATTTTATTGCAGTTTTAAGTGTAGAGGTTGCACCAGGTGGTTCAAATGTACTATAGATAGATAATGGAGACATTCTATCACCACATGTTCTTATTTAACTCCCAGCAGTTTATTTAATGAGCTGGTGCTAAGAGAAATCCAATGCATCACACGCCGGTGTGTTGACTGCTGAATACCAAGCCTGGTACGTGCCGCACAATAGCCGCCGTCTCCCTGTGTTTGCAGAGTAAAGAGCTGCAGTTGGACATCATCCCAGCCAGTGCTCCGGGGTCAGAGGTCAAGTTGAGGGATGCTGCCCACGAACTCAACGAGGAGAAGAGGAAATCCGCGCGGAGGAAAGAGTAAGTCTTGAAACTCACATTTTATCTTTGCACGCTGATGACCACATGGTGATGAATGAAACATGTTCTCTTCGGAGGCCTGTATGAAACCACCAGGATGAATAATCACTCGTTTCCAGCAAATGTATGAAAACATGTTAGATTTCACTTTCATGTTTCATTGCTGCAGCCGAGCTTTCACTTCAAATTGATGGGGCTAATATGGCTTAATGTCAAATTAACCCACCAAACATGAGCACATCATCGCGAACTCTGGATTCTTCAAATCAGATTAACTTTGTAAACAAACTGAGATGGAATTTATAATTGATGTCAGAAGATGCAGAGCAGTAATGTGCCTTTATCACAAAATCAGCGATCCCGATGCTGTGAGGAATGTCTGAGGTAATTAGTTTGATAAGAGACGTTTACACAAGAGGGATTCTACAAATAGTCTGTAAAATACTCATCAAATGTTCATAGTAGTGTGGCTCAGATTGCATCTTTCAGTCTGAGCCCAGCCGAGCCCGAAAGAGAACTAACCAAGCCCAAACCAAACATGACAGGCATTCTGTTTTTCTGTCTGAACCTGACTGAGTCTGATGTTTCCCCGATTACAGACACGTGCAGCATAACAAATCAAAATGGGAACGTGACCAAACCTGATCACATTTCAAAATCTTTGTCTGGCTCGGGTCGGGTATCCACAATTTAGTTTACAAGCCATACACATATAGCAACAGCAGTAATTCGTTTTTAGATGATGATGTTAAAATAGTTTACATCAAATTATGCTGTAAGTTTGTATAACAAATGACGGAACAGTAAAGTTAAGTGAAAGGCTTCTCTGATCTACATTCTCATCTCCAGTTACCAAAGTGCGACCTCAGATGAAACAAAAAAATATGGGTTTTTTGTATTTGCTCGAGTGAAGCACTAAACCATGGTCGTCACTGTCTCGTCTCACAATGTGTCACTTGCCCTTTCAGGTTTATAATGGCTGAGCTGATTCAGACAGAGAAAGCCTACGTCAGAGACCTGCGGGAATGTATGGATGTAAGTATTAAGTAACGCACCACACAAACACACACAGCTGATCTCCCAAAATGATTAAATATTTAGTGAATTAACTGCGTAATATTGATTATTTCAAATCAGCTTCTAAATTAAATAAACACTTTCTTTTATTTTACACTTTGAATTTGAATTAGGTATTTAATTAGCTGCTCTGGAATGTGTGTGTGTGTGTGTGTGTGTGTGTGTGTGTGTGTGTGTGTGTGTGTGTGTGTGTGTGTGTATAGACATACCTGTGGGAGATGACCAGCGGTGTGGAGGAGATTCCTCCTGGTATCGTCAACAAAGAACACATCATCTTTGGGAACATGCAGGACCTCTATGAGTTTCACCACAAGTCAGTGGAGCGGTGAACTGTGACGTCTTGTGTTTACATCAGAGAGTTTAGCTCTTAAAGGTTTAGTGTGTAAGATTGAGGCGAAATGGATTTTTGGCAGAAATTGAATATGATATGATGTTTTCACTGGTGTATTTCATCTAAATTGTCTTAATTGTTGTTTTCTTTATCATAGAATGGTGTCGTTATTTTTAAAAACTTTATATTTACATGGGGGGGGTCCTCTCTGTGGAGGCTGCCATGTTTTTTAACAGCTGAAGTTCACCACAGGTTCTCTCTCATGAAAATTCACCACTAGATGTCACCAAATTCTACACACTGAACCTTTAATTACACATTTTAAATTGCATATTCAGTTTTTCAGGATTATAACTACACGACAACCTGTAATTGTTCCATCTTTAATTCATTCTGTCTCTAAACAGCATCTTCCTTAAGGAGTTGGAAAAGTATGAGCAGCTTCCAGAGGATGTCGGCCATTGTTTTGTGACCTGGGTAGGTTTTTATATATGTATATATATATGATCAGTTCCTTGTGTTACTGAGCTGTGCTTAGGGAAACCTCAACAAATACAAAGTTGTGAACAAGATATCTCAAGAACACCGCGATAGAATCGTTTCAAATCTGGCACAAATGTTCACTTGGACTCACTGATTAACTGATAAGATTTAGGTGGTCCAAGGTCAAAGGTCAATGTCATTGTGGCCTCTTTAAAGAAAAGGTTTTGGCCTCTAGAGAATTCCTTCAAATTTTGATCAGTTGTCACATGGGCTCAACGATGAATTAATTTCAGCGGTCAGAGGTTGCAGTGATGTGATTGCAAAAAATACATGCAGACTGAAACTGTTCTGGTTGGTAGAGGCATATAACCAGAGGGCAGTAATTCTAGTTTGTTTGTTTTTTCATTGAATACATAAACATATTGCATAAGATGTTCAGCATCCAAGACTCTTGATACATTGTGAGTAAAATACTGATGCTGTTTCTTCTGCTCAGGCTGATAAGTTCCAGATGTATGTGAACTACTGTAAGAACAAGCCTGACTCCACTCAGCTCATCCTGGAGCACGCTGGACCCTACTTTGATGTAAGTATCTACCAGTACTGCTCCATGTGGGATAACGTGTGATGCTAGTTTTTAACTGAGGGACGTCTCACATCCTGACATCTACACACTGCCTCTTTGGTTTAAATACAACAACAGGAAATAGAGAATTATCAATGTTTCAATATTTTCAAATTCTTCCTTTTGTTTTTTTCAGGAAATCCAGCAGAGGCATCGTCTCGCTAACTCCATCTCTTCTTACCTGATCAAACCAGTCCAGAGAATCACTAAGTACCAGCTTCTTCTCAAGGTACAACAGTGTGTATGAAAAGAAGCTAATCTGGTCCAACTGGACTAAATATTTCCAGGCAAATAAAATGTTGCCATTGGAACTTAGCAAACCAACCGGGACAAAAAGGACAACTGTTATTAGGAATGTGAACTACTTTTTTTTTTTCTGCAGGAGTTGCTGACATGTTGTGAGGAGGGAAAAGGTGAGATTAAGGATGGTCTTGAAGTGATGCTGAGCGTCCCCAAAAGAGCTAATGATGCCATGCACCTCTCTATGCTGGATGGTAGGTGTACACGCACGCACACACAGACACACACACACACTCACACACATGCACACACACACACACACACACACACACACGCTCTTACAGAAACATCTCCTACAGATGGAAATCTCCCACACCTGTACACTTGCTCACTCAGTTTGTCCTCGTCTGATGTTGCCTTTAATGGAACGTTTCTCTTTGTATTTCTGAATGAGCTCACATCACTTTTTCATTCAGTCTTTCAGCCCCAGTTACTCAGCTGTGAGTCACACATAACCTCACTCAGCTTCTCTCCATTCAACACCCACACACATGTTCATGCAGAGCACACAGACTCAAAAGGCCACTTACTTACTCTTTCACATTAATGTTTCAGGCTTTGACGGAAACATTGACTCCCAGGGAGAGCTGATCCTCCAGGACTCCTTCCAGGTGTGGGATCCCAAGACTCTTATTCGTAAAGGTCGCGACCGACACCTCTTCCTGTTCGAGATGTCCTTGGTCTTCAGCAAAGAGGTCAAAGACTCCAACGGGCGCAGCAAATACCTCTACAAGAGCAAGCTTTTTGTAAGTAATTCTAATTACGACAGCTGAGAAGGCAATTAATGTAGATGCACAAATGACCATGGCAACACTCCCCCAAACATAGCATGACGACATGAGATTAGAGTTGGACATCTCTGCATTTCGTGGCAGCACAGGTTACACATGTTGTCAGATGCTTTAGTTCGTGCCAACCTGGGACTGAGTTGGAGCTGATGGTTTCAACTTAAAAATACTTTGTCTGATTAAACTGAAGAGGGTCAGAAGATGTCAGCTGAGTAAGTTGTCCCTCGTATGTGGCCCCAGATGCTTTTGTGTTCAAACAGTCACGACAATGAGTCCATGTATCCCAGACCACCACTGAATGTGGTTGAAATGATCAGATCTCACAACATAGAGCTGACCACTTGTAGCATCGTGTTTTTGATCTTCTACATTTTCTGACATGTTCTTCTCCTCCTCAGACGTCGGAGCTCGGAGTGACAGAACACGTGGAGGGAGATCCTTGTAAGTTTGCCCTGTGGGTGGGCAGGACCCCGACCTCAGACAACAAGATCGTCCTCAAGGTATCAAGATTCTGCAGATAAAGTGGTTAACTGTTTTCATCGCTGTGTTTTGAATAGTGCTCATACCTCCACCAAGACCCAACAGTTTCTTTAAATTTTCCCCCGAGTTGTGCACTCTAAATATCAGTGCTTTAAATATTTTTTTTTTCTTTGAGATCCATGAATTATTCCATACGAAATTGCTGAAAATTTCAAAAAAATTTCAATTAAGAACTTAGAACCAAAAAGGAACTTGAAGTCTTCTTCCGGCATCATACTCAAAGTAAAATAGACCCTCATACGATTTTCCTTCTGCAGGAGTGGTCAACTCGATATATGTAGTCCACTCCCACTGAAGCCTGCATAGTTCCCTCTGTTCAGCCAAGAAAGTTCACTCGCTGTGGGAGGTTGGAGTGTTACTTTCTGCTACTTATTCACTCATCACACAGAAATATTACCATGGCCGCTTCACAAGCAACTTGGTAGTTCTCACCTAATGAGTCAGCGGCAGCGCTTTAATCAGGGTGTGTGTAGATAATGCATGTGTTTGAGACGAACAGAGAGGACGACAGGATATTGTGGTTCCCAGTGTGTGTGTGTAACTGTACATCTGTCTGTCTTATTATATAATCGCAGATGACCCGCTCAATATAACACAGTGCCTCGGCAGGCTTGATTCCACCGGTTGCTAAGTGAAGGAGGAGGAGAAGACACAGACAGAGAGGGTAGTCATATGCTAAATACAGTGTTAAGCATCGGCGCAGTGACGTAAATAAACACAAGGCCAACAATACATTTCCGCAGCGTCTGTGTGGAAGCCCAAGTGAGGCTGTTGTCGTCATTGTCTGAATACAGACATGTGACTCGAGTACATGATTGCAGGGCTCAAAGCACTCGTATGGGATCAGACTGAATTATATCACCAAAAGCAACCTGTTACTTTGCCATAGGTCAACAATTGATTCATTCAAGCCAAGAACAGCTCAACTGCTAACACCATTTGCTGCTGAATGATATATTCTCTCTGTATGATAGTGAAAAACGAGCGGCTACACTGCTCTCTTAACAGACTTTTAGATTTAACACTGATCATGTGTCCAAGGCTTCGAGTCTGGAGAACAAGCAGGACTGGATCAAACACATCCGGGAGGTGATCCAGGAGCGAACCGTGCACCTGCGTGGAGCTCTGAAGGAGCCCATCCACATCCCGAAAGCCACCACAGCTAAACACAAAGGCAGACAGTAAGATCTGGTTGTGCTTTTCATGAGTAAATGTTAGTTATGTTTTTTTATATGTGCAAAAATGTCCCAAAGGCACAGCTTGAATTAAGCATTGCAAAGATATAACAAAACTAGAATGGCACTAAACAGCCCCCTTCAATCCTGCACTGATTCTGTTATGTTTTTTGTGCATAGTTCTAAAACTATTGAAGATACATATAAATCCACAATATTTCAGCTGCACATTGCTGTTAGTGATAAGTATTTAGCCCTATTTGTTACCATACAGGAACATGTAATTCCCCCTATGAACATCATTTAAATCTGCAAGATCTGGATTTTTATTTTAATTAGCTCCACATTGCACACACTTATAGATAGAATAATTTATATTTCAAGTAAAAGTTTGATCAAATCTCATAACAAAAGTAATAATGGAATGACTCTAATGATATTTCCTGCCAGCAGGGACCGAGAGGAACTGGACAGCCAGGGAGACGCCAGCAGCCAACCAGATACCATCTCCATTGCCTCACGTACATCACAGAACACACTGGACAGTGACAAGGTAGGAAAACACACACATCTCAATGCATAGGAGTCAGGTCACTCAGTTTATGTACGTCCACATCATGTCACCTTGTGACGACACGATGTGGACGTACATAAACTCACATGAAGCTGCAACCTGGATAGATGCAAGCAACTCTCTGTGAGGAGGAAGACACAGTCCATCTGACAGAAGCACACAAGCAATGTGTGTGTGTGTGTGTGTGTGTGTGTGTGTGTGTGTGTGTGTGTGTGTGTGTGTGTGT